TTTGCTGAGCAGTGGCTGTAGGTGTTCACCGGAGCAGCCTATTTGCGTTTCTTCACTTGATCACAGAAACAGATGTACTGCAGACGTCACCTGGACGGCCTGGGCTTTGTGATGGGCCAGGCCTGCTTTAGTACAAGATCCCTGTGTGGTGTGGCTTTTGTGAGGGGTTTGTGTACAGCTATTTACCGCCTCGAAAAGAAAGAGCAGTCCTTCAGATCTCGCATGAAGAAGGACTCTGGAGTCTTCCTCGGATTACATGTTTTGTGTGTGTGTGTGTGTGTATAGCTTAGAATCCCCTGCAGCTTGAATGTACGTGTAGACGAGTGGTTGGAGGAGCAAGCAGTTGTGACACTACTCGCAGTTGTATGCACGGTCAGTAGAGCAGGTATGGGCTAGGCTTGGAGGGCTGCGGGGTGTCAGTGCCCCTGGGTGCTGCCTGAGCCTCAGCCGCACACGGAGTCAGAGCCTCAGGAATCTGGTGTTTGCTCTGGGCGTTCTTTGTGTGCGCATCTGTACATGTGAGAATTTTACTTCTTCAGTGTTGAAGTTAAACCCAGTGTGAACAGGAGCCTGCCTGCTGAAGAGGAGTAACTTTCAGTATTTTGGATTAAGAATTGGTACTGAAGCAGTGGAATTCATTTATCTTTTTACACAAACTGAACTGGGTGTTTATCTCAGTAGTTGCAATATTTATGCGTTGAAATGCAGAAGCTTTTCTGTCAGGGAAGTTAGTTCATTTCTGTTAGGTTCACTTAATGAATTTTACTTAGTAGAATGGCATTTCCTTAGTGAGGCTTTTGAAAGGAACATGAATACTGGTCTTTTGAAGACAAGCTGTAATTTTTGTGATTCTTTTTTATTTTCTTCCAGTTGTTTACTTTACAGGTAGCATGTGATAGGTGGTTGCAAGGATTTTAATTTGTAGCCTTTGCTTGTGTGTAACCCTTTATTAGGATATAAGCCATTACAAATCCTGTGTCCAGTTTTTCTTGCTTTTCTGAGTAACTTAAAATGACAGATCTCTGTTCATTGTCATATAGTCATTATTACATTATATTCCTATTATTACATGCTGTTCTTCAGGAGCTGCAGGTTATCTATGTAAGGTGGTGCAGAGACAACTATTGTTCTTTTTAACTGGTCATGTTTACCCACAGCTTAGAAAAAAAAGTAAGAGATATTGTGCATAAAGCTTTCTGGGATTGTCTGGAAGCTCAGCTAAAGGAAGATCCACCAACATATGACCATGCAATTAAACTATTGGGAGAAATTAAAGAGGTAAGATGATGTGGTATGAAGGTAAATTTACTGAATTTGTGTAGTTGGATTGATATGAATGGGTCAAAGTGGTTGAAGTTTGGCTTTTCATAAAGGACTCTCCGTTGATCTTTTTCATTACTATATCATTGTCTGTGAATGTATATAAGTTGTATAACCCCAGAGGAGAAATTTGAATGAAAAAACAAATGCAAAACCTTATAAGATGAATAAAAGGTAAGGAATGCTAGTTTCATAATTCCAAGCTTCCTTCATGTTACGACAGTGGTGTTAGTTATGGAATCAGTGAGATGCCCCAACACTGGGCTCACAAACACCAAGTACAGTAGTCTTAAGTATGATCTGTACTACAGCGTATTTACCACTTAGTAACTTCAGTATCATACAGAATGAGGTGAAACACTTTGAGTTGGTGGATAGTTGGGTGAAAAAAAAAAAAAAGATATTCCACTTGTAAAGAGCAATTAATTTAAATAAAAAGTGCTTCAATAACTGTTTTGATCCTTGCAGTCTTTGATATGTAAAACTAATGCACTGTTAACTTTCCATTTCAGAATCTCCTGTCATTCTTGTTGCCTGGTCATACTAGACTGAGAAGCCAGATTACAGAAGTTCTTGATCTGGACTTGATAAAACAGGAGGCAGAGAATGGGGCCCTTGACATTTCTAAGCTGGTCGAATTTGTTATTGGGATGATGGGGACTCTCTGTGCTCCAGCTCGAGATGAAGAAATTAAGAAACTGAAAGATATTAATGGAATAGTTCCTCTGTTCAGGTACTGAAATGGTTTTTATTAGTCATGTTGAGAGTCCCTTAAATAATTTTAGATGGGGGAGGAGGGTGGTTTCAGCAGGGCAACCTGAAAATCTTTGTAGAAAAAAAGAGTGATAAGGGAAAGGGATATAGTTGTGGGTGTGAAGGAAAGAGATGCTCCAGAAGTCTTTAACAAGGACTCTCTCTGTTCTGGCAAATTGGAGTATTTGTCTGGCTCCTGCATGCCACTGAAGGACATTTTCTTAAATGCCAAATGCATGTAAGCCTTAAGATAGCAGGTGAATGGTCAGTTTGTGTCAGACTTTAATACTGACAGCAGAAGGGGAAAATGGCAAGCGGGAGCATAGGAAAAAGGTGGTGTTATTCTCCAGCCAGTTCTTCCTTTCCCTCCCAGTTTGAGGTCTCTTCCCCTTCCCACCTCACTCCCTGTATAATATCCTTTCAGTTCTAAAGGGAGTGTGCATATCACATCTGGGAGCACAGGGGCTTCTGCTTTGTCACCACGTTCTCAGTTGCACAGCTCAAGGTCACAATAGTTAGAAGAAATTTCGTTAACCTTGTTCTTTTCTAATTTGATAAGCTTCCAAGAGTTCAGGATTGACTTGGCAGAAATACTGCCAGCAGG